GAGGCTCTCTCCTGGGGAAAGGAGCTCTATTTAAGAAGACCTCAAAATGATAGCCATCAGCTTCAATCATTTGTGTGAGGCCTGGGTAAAAAGTGGAGAAGCACAGAGTCTGGAGAAGTCCATTGTCAAAGACAGCTTCCCCAGTTCTGCATGATCACATGTGAGTCTCAGGGGCATCTCACCTCTCCTAGAAGGCAGTATTTTCAACTCTATCCTCATGTAGTCTCCTACGAAGGAAGCTGAATGGAAACATGGTTGTTCAGGAGGAGAGAATTGCTCTGCTCTTACCCTGGAATCAACTGACTTTCTTAGATGCCACCAATACAGCCACCTCTGGAATGTCCAGTGTCGACGGCCCTGAACTTCCAAGAGTGCTCCCTTGTCTTCCTGACTCTGGAAAGACACTCAGTGTCAAGAGCTTTCCTTTGTGGAGAATCAATTGTGGATTCAGTTATGGTTCATTAACTACCAGCTTCATTGACAGGTTTTGGTTCTCAGGTAGATTCGGGACTTCCTACTCCTCTTTCACTGCTGCAGAGTTTTTAAACCAGAGATTTGGTACCAGTGTGAAAGTCCATAACTCTGAGAGTGCTTGTGTTTCCACTGACTTAATCAGTGCTGCTTACCCAGCTCAGTTCTGAATCAAGGAGGTGGGCTGTATGTGTATGTTTGTGCCCTTTGTCACAAATACACTGTCTCCTCTTGACATCACTATCACAATTGACCTCAGAGAGGAATGAAATAACAGAAGCTGCAAGAAGAGACATTTGCCAAGCTGCTATTCCAACATGAAAAATAAACATAACAAATCAGATTTAAAAAGCATCTATAGATTTAAAACATTGTTAAATACTGGCTCAAAAATAACCACCTACCAAGTCAGGAAGGAGATAGTACTCTTGTGTGGCAAATGATAAAGGGTTTTTGTCTTTGAGTTTTCCATAAGATTTCACAAGATTAGAATAGTTACACAATACAAGGCAGAAGGTTATGTTCTTTATTCTTCAAATTCAGATTCCAACTGAATCACAGCTTGTGTAAGAAAAATGACCATCACACCCTTAAAGGGAAAGCAACTTCGAGTCACTTAAATGAAGCACACATACCCAAATGCATACTGCCCAAGGAGCCTTCTATCTAAACAGCATGTGTATGTGACAAACATCTCTTTCACTACCCCAAACCCAAAACACCGCCCTTGGTTACAGATTCCATACAACCAAAGAGTGTCTCCTAAATCTCAGCTCCCTCCCTCAGACTAAACCACAGAACAAACTCTATGACAAAGAGCTATCAGGTCCTTGCTCTGCTCTCTCTACCTGATCCTAGACCACATTTACCATCTCTGGGTTAAACTCTGAATGTCTATTACATGTTATCACTTATATGTTGTTGATCTGTATTTACCAATAATTTGTTAAGGATTTCCATTTATATTTATGAGGAAAAATTCCTCTGTGGTTTTCTAATATTGTTCTTGCACGTTGTATGGCTTTCTTATGTTGTCTTTGTCTAGGTATCACTTTTTGATTAAGAAATACCTTGAGGTCAGAAATGCAGCAGGGAATTGTGTGTGTGTGTGTGTGTGTGTGTGTGTGTGTGTGTGTGGAGAGAGAGAGAATCTCTCATGTGGTTTATAGTTCTACTGGAAAAGTCTGAAATAAAGAAATCATATGTATTTTTACATATACATTTATAATTTGAATGCTATGAAACAAATAATTTTATATGATTTTTAAGTAATGGAACCAAATGGACATGCTTAAGGGGGTAGTAAGGAATACTCTCCAAAAGGATGACATTTAAGCTGAAATCTAAAGAAGCCTGGGAACAGGGAAAGGCATGGGGGGATGTTGGAGACAGAGGTAACAATAGGTGTAAAGCCTTAGGCAGGAAAAATTTTCATCACTTAAACTGAAAAAAGCTGTGTTTCAGCTATACAAGAAAAAAAAAGACATTAAAAAAAAGAGTTAATTATTGGATTGAGGGTAAAAGGGAGACATGGACTTGACTGATAGGTAAAATGCCCTGTTCCATATTCTAAAGGTAATCAGTTTGGTACTGAGCAAAATGAAAGTACTAGTTGAAGGAGCCAAAGGGTTGCTTGAATAGAGAGAGAATTATTTCTGATCCTGTCTTCTATGTCACTTTATAGGTTCTTAGAGACTGAGTATGATGGCACATACAAACTTTAATATGGACCTGGCTGAAACACAATGGACTGTGTAGTGGGCTATGGGTGATTTGATGGTGGGTGTACTGTGGTGCTGATACTGAATTCTGACTGGGGGATCCTAAAGTTACCTCAATTAAAAAATAAATGATAACCCCCCCCCAAAAAAAATCCACGTGGTTGAATGTGACTTAAGGGATTTTTAAACATATTTACACCAAAACCCAAGTGAGAGAAGTCTGCCTACTGCAATTTGCTAAAAAGGTTTTGTATAAATAGTTCTGTGTGGCTTTTATTCTTTGATGCTTATAAGGGTTTTTGTAGAATTAAAAGAGTTACATGCCCATTCACCTGTCAAAATTGAAAAAGAAATATTACTCAAAAGGCTGCTCATAGGCACATGTCTAAATAAATGCAATGTAAGAAGAGAAGTGAAGAATGACTCAGTCCTAAGTATCCAAAGCATTCTGGGAAGCACATGTACATTTTATTTTATTTATTTATTTTTTTTTTAATAGAGGCATGCTTTATTTATTTATTTATTTGTTTGTCTGCTCTGTTCACACATGCACTGGGCACAGTCAGAAGCGGGGAGGGCGAGAGAACTCACCAGAGCCAGAGCAGGGAGCAGAGCAGGCAGAAGGACCGAAGTACACTGCTGAGGGGAGCAGCGGGCGGCAGGAGAGGTCTGCGCGCCATGTGGGACCCTCCTCCAGTGGCCGGGGAGCAGCCGGGGATCGAACCGGCGCCACAGAGGCTGCGGGCAGCTTCGCAACCCAGTGCTCAACCGCTGCGCCACCGGGGAGGCCCAGCACATGTACATTTTAAAACTGATTTCTCTTTTAATTCTCTGTATCATACTCATGGCTTTAAAAAAAATTACCAATCTCCTTGATGAAGAGTTTAGCAGATGCAGAAATTGAATCTTAATTTCTGAATGCTTTGATTGCTGTTAATTGCCTTTTGTTTTTTCATGTGTCTCAGTTTAATACCACAGAAAGCTTTTGAATCATTAGCTCTGGAAACATAAGCCAGTCCCTTAATCACACAGTAAATGAATCATTGGCATAAGGCTAGCCAGGGAACCTGACCTGGAAGTGTCTTTTCTAAGGCTCTACTGAGACATTCATCTGTCTTCAGCTGCCTAAATCATTTCTGAGCTTAGCGGAAATTTTTAGGATGCCCTCCCAGCTATAATATCCAGTCTGGTCTGGAAATTCATTGCCCCACTCACAACTGCACATCACAGGGAATGAAAAAAGCATTTGACTATATTTGCTTTCTTACATAACAAAGAGCTCTTAAACACTTCATATTGCCTACCCTCTCTTTTTCTTCTCCCCGGACAGTAATGGCATAATGCAATAGTAGCCTGTAAAATGAAAGATACCAAAGGTTATGTTTAGTTCTTAAAAACCCAAACTTCAGAATTAGACTTGTATTCAAATCCAGACTCCCTGCTTTCAGTTTTACGTGCAATCTACTTAATTTACAGATAAATAAGCTAAAATACATAAGAGGTCACTGTCTCCAAGCCTTAGTTTGTACATCTAAAGAATGGACGAACTGATTACTTCAACTAAAGAATGGATGATTACTTCAAATGGTAGTTATAAGAATTAAACAATGTGGTTATATGCAGTTAGCTCCTGAATTATGATGACTTAAGGTTTTCTGACTTTCTGATGGTGTTAAAGCAATAGTTATTCATTTTGAATTTTGATTTTTTCTTGGGTTAGTGATGTGCAATACACTATGTCTCATGAAGATGGGCAGAAGTAGAGCCACAGCTGCCTGTGAGCCATGTAATTACTAGGGTAAACAATGACTACTCTAGATCTTTTCACTTTCAGAAAAATGTTCAATAAATAACATGAGATATTCAATACCTTATAAAATAGGTTTCATGCTAAATTATTTTGCCCAATGTAGGTCAATGTAAATGTTCTGAGCTTGCTTAAGTAGGCTAGGCTAAGCTATAATGTTCAGTAGATTAGGTGTATTAAATGCATTTTAAACTTAGAATATTTTCGATTTAAAATGGGGTTATCTGGGCATAATACCATTGAAAGGTGAGCATGATTAAAGCATATAGCCTTGTTCTGACACATAGTAAGTGCTCATGAAGTGGTTGCTATTAGTGTTGCTGTTGTTTGTATTTCTAAGTTCCATCTGCCTGTTGTTCAAGTTCCCTTTAATCAATAGAAGACTTTGATTTTTGTCTTTGGAAGGGACTTTAAAAATTTCATCACCCCATCCACTTAATTTACAGATAAAATAACAGGTATCTTTAAAGTGTCTAAGAAGTCACATACTAATCCAGGATCTCATGGAATGACAGGCACAGAACAGCAGAGTTGAAGTCTTAATTTTCAGACCACAGTTGGTCTCCTCAAAATGCTCAAGTGTTTTGGTTGTTCTTCAGTATGTGTAGAATTACTCCTCCTGCTTTCCTGTTTTTCTGATCACTTGCAGTTTAGTTCTAACTTGTGTTATATAACCTAATATACTTCAAAATATTGCAAAATAATTAGAAGATATAAAACCTAATTGGAAGAAAAAATGTTGCAAAAACAGTGGAAAATAATATATATGCAAAGATGATTGTAGAATAATAATGACTTCATTATGAATTGTGATAATTTTCTTTTTAACTTTCTAAGGGAATTTTTCCAGAAAAAACTGTGTTTAATGCAAAGGTTAATGTATACTCCTCATACATGTATGCATGTCTATGTTGTCAAAAAAACTTTTGAAGTTCTTTTAGCTAAGCAAGAATGAAGAGGGGAAGAAGAGAGAGCTATAACACTGTTTTTCCCTTGGACAGGAGGGAGTGGAATTGGAAATAGAAGGTGGATGCTGCATTGTGGGGAATGTAGTTCCCTCTGCTAAGACTTCCGTGGAAGCCACAGTAGAAGATGGAACTAAGTAAGTAATCCCAAGGCCTCCCCTGGTGCGCAGCGGTTGAGCGCTGGGTTGCCAGGGTGCCCGCAGCCTCTGTAGCACCGGTTCGATCCCCAGCCACCAGTGCGGTTGAGCACCCCCTCCCCTGTGTCATCTTGGCCCTGCAGCCTCTGGGCCTTAGTGTCACCAATCCAACCCTGACCTGGAGGGCGTAGACCTCCTTTGGCTTATGAACCCCAGTGAATTTACTGGATACATTACAACAGTCATACTACTATTCTGGTTACTGGGATCATACTAAGTAAGAGTCCTTTTATGCAATTGCATTGAATTTATGGATTAATCGACATGTTTAGAATATTGAGACTTTCATCCAAAAACATAACTTTCCATCTATTCAGATCTGTATTATATATATATATATTCTTTTTTTAAAAAGATTTATTTATTTATTTATTTATTTATTTATTTATATAAGCACTGGGTACAGTCAGAAGCGCGGGAGGGTGAGAGAATTCACCAGAGCCAGAGCGGGAGGCAGAGCAGGCAGAAGGACTGAAGTACACTGCTGAGGGGAGCAGCGGGCGGCAGGAGAGGTCTGTGTCCCATGCGGGACACTTGCCCGGTGGCAAGGGATGGAACTGGCGCTGCAGAGGCTGCGGGCAGCTTCGCAACCCAGAGCTCAACCACTGAGCCACCGGGGAGGCCCTATTATATATATTTTTAATAACATTTTCTAGTTTCCTTCATATGTAGCTTGTACCATTCTTTCAGTTTATTTGGCAGGGGATTTTCTTAAAGCTTACGTTGGAATGGGATCTTAAATTGTATATTTACAAAGAGAAAAAAATGTAAGAAAGAAAAGAAAGCAGGAGTTAAAAATTAGGAGGGAAGAAAAAGTAAAAGGAGAAGATGAAATGTTGCAGCAGGAAGACAAAGATGAGAAAATACAATTTTATTGAGTACTTGTTATGTAGCATGCCCTGGACTAGTGGCCTACGGGAACACATTTCACCTACTTGTACCAGGTGACTCCGTCCGAGAAAATTTAAGTTTACAAAGTTCAGCCAGGGAGCGTGGAACAGGAAATGGAGAGAGAACAGGTTTGGAGTGAAATCTGGGAACCAGTCCCAGATTCCACACTCACCAGCTGTGTGATTTTGCTCCAGTTACCTAATTACAGTCCTCATTTGTAAAACTTGCATAATGTCTGTTCAGGTGATTAGAGGATTAATTGGAATATGTACCTAATGTGCCTGGCAGATTAGATGCCACAAATGCCAGGTCCCACCCATGAATCCATCCTACAGCACCCCAGCCCCTCTACCTCCTCCTGCCCCAGTCCTTTGCCGTAGCTCCAGGCTGCCATGGCTATTTCAGTGTCTGCTCAGGACAAGACATTCACATGCAACAAGCCATTTTTTCTGTGAGTGTTTAACACCCAGGAGCACATACCTAACATTCTTAAGAAACGCTGTAGGAGAGATGGTTGTTAGGAGCCATAATCTGAGTCCGAAAAAAAGTCACATAGGCTTGAAAAAAAAAAAAAATGACCCATTTCTTCAGAAGGAGTCATTGTTGAAATGTGGATCCCTTTTCAGACCCAAATCCCCAGTGAGAAACACCCTCTGTTTCTACCCAAACAATAGTTCCTTGTCCCAGATACAATGTTGGCTACATAGCCCTGGAGAGCATTGAATCCCCATGGTGATGCAAATGGTTTCTCTGGGGACAGTGGAAACTGTGTCTGGAGGGGCCACACCACCAACCAGGCCCTCGGTCATTGAAAGAAGACTCCATTCCCAGTCTGAGCCGCTGGAACACAGAACTGGCCCTGACGTCCTAGCTATACCTTCTATTTTGTGCAAGACTCAGACCCTCCCAGGAAGCTGTGCTTGTGAAATGTGAGTATAAAGTCCAGAGAGATGCAAAGACATTGCAGTGACCCGAACGAGGGCTCTCTTCTAGGGAGCATGTAAGTTTCTTCCCATCACGTTACTCTTACTCATTAAGAAAATTATGAATTGGCCTATTTAAATCTTCCTTCTCTACATATGGGACCTCTAGCGGAGATTATGCCACCTCCCTGAGTGTCATTCTCTTCATCTGAAAAATGGAGCTAATAACAAGGACCTGATAGAATTGCTATGAGGACTAAATTACACAAATATAAAAAGATGCTCAATAAAAATCAGAATTATTCTTTCATCATATAGAGAATTGCATTCAAAGCCTCTGAATGTCTTCAGTGGTTCTGTTCTTCACTTTTCAAAGGGAAATTTGATTTCTGCAATAGCCAAGTGTCATGATTCTGGCACTTGTAAGTAATGTGTGTGATAAAGCTGAGCACCTATATCTATCTATCTATCTATCTATCTATCTATCTATCTATCTATCTATCTATCTATCTATCTATCTATATTTTTTAAAGAGTTGGTCTCTCTTAAATACGGTGCCTGGTTTCCACATATGACTTGTAAATAAAGCTTGACACATTGGATCTATATTCAAATTGTTTCCAGAAACCAATTGCTTCTCACATCCTCGTCTGCTACCACCTGTCTGAATTGAAGCCATCATCATGTTCTCTGGGTTTATTACAAATCACTTCCTAATTGGTTTGCCTATTTCAACTACTGATCTAAAAATCTTGAGCAATGGCAGTACCATTGAAATGAATGTATCATCTCCTCAGAGGAATGCCTTAACCATCATTTATTTGAATATTCACTTATTCAACAGATATTTATGGAGTCCCTACCATATGCCAGCATCATTCCGGGCTCTGGTGATACAGCAATAAACACAACAGGCACAGATGCCTGTCTGGTGGAGCGTGTATTCTTGAGAGGCATGATGACCATTAAACAAATAAACAAGCCCAGTATAGCCTAGGCCAGATGGTGATGGGTATGCTATGCAGAAAAAATAATCTGAGTAAGGGGAGAAGGAACCCAGGGAGTAGGGTTGGGAAATGAGGGTTGTCCTTTTAAATGTGGTGACTGGGAAAAGCCCCTCTGATGAGCTGACATTTGAACACTGTCCAGAAGGAGAAGAGATAGAGAACCATGTGGTTATGTGGGAGGAGGGAGGAGGAAGATTGCTCCAGACAGAGGAAACAGCAGGCACAGAGTCCCCGAAGCAAAGCAAAGCGGCCAGAATGGCTCAGGCACAGTGAGTGAAGGGAGGATAGAGAGGTGGTAACAGACATGTGGGAATGGGAAAGATCTCACAGGCCATCATCAATATACAGGCACCTACTCTATTGAGTTGGAGAGCCACTGGAGGATTTTGAGGAGAGAGGTGACTCCAATCTGATTTACATTTTGAAGGTTCATTCTAACTGTAGAGCAGTGGATGTCAAACTTGAGTATGTATCACAATTACCTCTGAGGGTTTTGTTACAACACAGCCGCTCTTCCCAACTCCAAGGTTTCTGATTAAGGAGGCCTGGAGAGGTGCAGGAGAATTTGCATTTCTGGCAGCTTCCCAGGTGGTGTTGATACTGTGGTCTGGGACCACATTGTGAGAACCACTGGTGAAAATAACAGTTTATAGGAGGAACAACAACAGAAGCAGGGAAACTAAGTAGGGGGTTATTTGCAATAATCCAGGGAAAATATGATGATGGGTTCTATTTGGCCAGGTGGTAACAGAGGAGGTCGTGAAAAGTGGTTGAATTCTGGATACATGTACATCCCTTGGGATCTGCTGGAGAATTGAATGTGGGGCATCATGGAAGAAAGAGATGAGTCAACAAGATGATTGGAATGGGCAGATATCAGGAGTTTAGTTAGGAGAATGTTAAAAAAATTATATGCTTATTAGAAATCCAAATGGCTATGTAAATTGTCCTTCTTTTAGAAGAACCTAGAATTCAGGAGAGATTTCTGGACTGGAGGTAACAAGGCAGTAGTCATAGATAGTGTTGTGAAGATTGGTTAATATCACTAGAGAGAATGGAAGTAGAGAAGAAGGCCTGACTGTGTCCGCCAGCCCATTGTTTATAGAAAGCAGGGCAGTGAGAAGCACCAGAAGTGACACTGAGAAGAGGCCATGGAGGAAAGGAAAACTTGAAGGATGTCAAGGGAAACATGTAGTGCAACACTATATCAGGTGTGTTTGCTCAAAGCCACCTTGTTATAGCCATTACCTCCAAGCACCTATTGTGAAGAAGATACGACATAGTTAGCATATAATAGCTAATTTTTGAAGTTGTTCTTTATGGATAAATGATTGTCATAAATAATAATATATTGTTATTTCTTATACATACTTTTGAGTTGTTTGGTTTGAGTTTTGGTTTGCAACCAAAAACCACAACATTGATACAATTTAATCATTAACATAGAATAGAATCTTTTCTTTCATCTTTAAGCATTCTGTCTAGCAAACTCAAATTTAAAGCACATTGTCCAATTTTGAGAGGATGAACTAACAATCTGTGTGCTACCAGACTGCTGGGAATTTATATTTATTTATATTGGTGTATATTTCGGGAGGTATAAAAATTTTCCCCCCTTTACTTTCTAGTGTTTCTGTGGGAAAAACAAATTGTGGAAACGAATGCTTCCACTTGTTCATTCATTGCACACTGAGCCATTTGGTCTTGCACCTCTTATAAGTGCAGCAGGTTGGGAGCAACAGTGGTGGTGATCCTGGCAGAGCTGGGAAGGACTAGCGGTGAGACCAAAGTAGGATGTAGGTTAGTGACAAAAAGCACGCATCTAGATTTCTCTCATTTCTTTGAGAGATAATCTCCCTCTCAGGGTGAGAGATGGATTCTGCAATCAATAGGCAAAGGAATGATACAATATGAATTACATTTTAGGAAGATCAATCTGCTTTTTGTGTTGGCAAGTCTCTTGAAAGGCAAGTTTGGGAACCGAAAGATCAAGTAGGGGTCTTTAGCAATAATCCAGGCAAGAGATGATGATGATTCAAGCCAGGGAAAGAGTTGTGGAGGTGAAGGGAAGTGGTGTGAATGAAAGGGATCAACACTGACACCAGGGTTTTTGTTTTGT